GGTGCCGTCGCCAGCGACAGTCTGTTTCGCGCCAGGTCGGCGGCGGGGTACTTGGTGGGCAGGAAGTCCAGGTACTTCTGGGCCACCGCGAGTTGTCCGTGGGCGGCGATAATGTCAGCGTACTCGGTGTACTTGTCGTACAAAGCAGCCAGCTTCCAGCCCTCAGTCAACTCCTTCTCGGAGTCTCGGAACTTGGTAACGTGGCGGAAGATGGTAACCTTCTCGATGAAGTTCTGAAGCGAGCGCGCGTGGACAGAGAAGGTCGAGTCGTCAGAGGACTCTGTAAGACCAGCCTTCTCGGCCTCCTGCAGCTCAGCGATCCAGATGTTGACGACCTTCTCCAGCTTGGATCCAACAAGGTAGCAGAAGGAAGCATCCTTGCGAAGACCGTGGTCAAAGACACGGTCGCCAAGGGCCTCGCACAGGTCGGGGAACTCCTGGGGGTCTGAGAACGTGCAGAGGACAGCCATGGTCTCCTTCCAATTCTCGAGGTCAGCGTTGTAGACGACATCCCAAAGGTTCTTATCGATGACGCTGCTGAGCAGGCGGACGTAGCTCGGGCGTCCACTCTTGCGCGCCAAGTAGGCTTTCTGGACCTTGTCGACCAGCTCCTGGCCGCCGCAGTTGGCGAGTAGGAAGGCCTCAGCAAATTGCTCCTCCTTCAGGCAAATCTCGGTGGCCTTGGTGAAGTTGCCCAGCAGAAGCGCCTTGGTGATTTGCTTCTCAACCGCCGAGTCGTTCTCGCTGAGCAGGTTGAACGGGCTATCCGTCTTGGCGCCTTTGGTAGCAGGGATGCCGCTGAGGAAATCGTCCTCATCGCCATCGCCCTCACCATCGGCAAAGAACCCGGAGACCCTCTTAGACGCAGATTTGGGCTCCTCGGCCTCCTTCTCGGCGTCCGAGATGGTTTCGGTCTTCTCCTTGGTCTCTTCGGCGGCAGTGCCGTTGACGATTTCTTCTTCGGTGAATCCGAGGTGCTCAATGATGGCCTTCCGAGGGTTATCACCGGTCAGAGTCTCCATCACAAGCCAGTCGGCCTTCTCCTCTTCAGTCGCAGCCTGGTCCTTGTGGGTTTCACAAATGCCGACCAGGTCGCCGGACTGCAGCGAGGCCTCAAACTTCTCCGTGGCGGTGCCAATATCAGAGTCAACCGAGAACTGGGAAATGATGACCTTGGAAGCCCTGGCCTGGCCCGGCTGTGGCTTGAAGATAACGAGCTTGCCGCCAAAACCAAAGGAGGCACCAATGGGCGGCTGAATCCACTTGGGGGCTTTAGCGAGGGAGAAAGAGGCGCCCTGCGGTTGGGTCTGCGCCTGGTTGAAAAAGTCCTCTCCATCCAGCTTGTTCTGCTGTTGTGTGGCCTGCGCGGAGGTCGAGTTGGTGTTCTGCAGCGTCTGAATGGCGATCTTGCCGTCGAATCCTGCCGTGGCCGACAGGTTGGGGTTGTGGGGGTTGAAGCGGGTGAGGAAAGTCCAGTTGGTAACCTCGGGGAACTCGCCATAGCGCTCTCCGGTCTGGGGGTTCCAGATCAGAGTCCTGTTGTCCTTGCCGCTGGAGATCAAAAGGTCGCCGTCTTGCTGGCACCACGACAGCGAGAGCACGCCTTGATCGTGACCCTGCAGCGATTTCTCGGGCGCGTTGGAGTTCCTCAGATCCCACAGAAGAATCAGGGGGGCTGAGTCGTCAGGAGTCGCCGTCAGGAGCTTCGTCGAGTTGTTGGGGTCCCATGCAATGGCGCTGACAGCCTTGCGGTTGTTGTTCAGTGTTAAGCTGGCCTTCTTCGTCTTCAGGTCCCAGACGGTGACAAAGCCACCAGATCCACCGGTAGCGAGAATGTGCGAGACCTTCCTGTTCCATGCGACGCACTCGAGATCGTCGGACCGAGCCGCAGCGGTGCCAAGGCGGAAGGGATTTTCGATGTCATTGACGTCGTAGACGAAGAGTTCGCCCTTTGCACCTGCAGTCGCGAGGATTTGAGGCCGCAGGGGGTTGAACTGCAGAGATTTGATGGCGCCGGTGTGCTTCGTGGTCCTCGAGATCAAGGCATCCTCGGCGCCGGCGATGAGCTTCTCAGCATCCCACAAATCGAGGGATCCGTTCTCGAGAGCTCCAGCAATGATGCCACGGGGGTGGTCCTCGTCGGCTGGACCCCAGGCAATGTCGTAGAACCTGTAGACATCAATGTCAGCAACGAGGCCAGTGTTGGCACGGCGGAGCAGATGAAGCTCACCTCGAGTCGGTACTGATACTGGCAACGGGTTGAAGCTCGAGTCCCTGGTCTTGGTCGTCTAGGTTGAGGTCCCAAAGCTCAAGCTTGGTCTCATCGGAGAAGTCATCGGACACTGCGCCGGCACGGGTACCGCTGACGACAAGAGGCTTCTCCGAACCAGGCGACCAAGCGAAGGCCGCGGTCCTGGGAATCTCTCGGAGGCGAACCATGGTGGGAGGTGCTCAGCCCTCAGAGACGGGCGTGCAAGATGACGTGGCGGGGAATAGGGAGGTCGGTGAGAGTCACGTTCGATCAAGTGTTGGCATTGACGGTGGTAAAGGGGGGCTATAATGTCCTCAGGAAAGCACCGCACCGATATAGCAGGCTTGAAAAGTTGGAGGCCCTTGTGCAACTGTGACCGTGGTCAGGTATGATGCCAGATTGCAGCCCACAGCATCAAGCAGTGCAGGGACGAGCTCCCTGACTTTGGCCCCCTTAGAGCCCCCTAGCCGGGCTGGGGACGTGCACGCCGCCTAGGCTTCTAGCCCCCCCCACCAAGGAAGGGCGAATGCTTTGCCGTTGAGGGCAGCTCAGGTGAAGCGTCCAAGCTTCTGGTCAAGATCACGTGCATCTGATGGTTTTCTTAGTCACCCAACGCAACGGAGCGCCCCGCCAGAGCGCAGCGCAGAGCTCAGGCGCCATTGAGACTCAAACTCATGCTGGTCGTTGTCGTCGTCGTCGGTGAAGCACTCAGGTACAAGTTTCGACCCGGACCAGTACGCCTAACAAAGCTCACACCATCATGACCGACGCCGCGCGCTGGAAGTCAACCGTCCATGTTGGCGGTCTGGCCGCCATGGTCACCGCCGCCAACATTCAGGATGCGTTCATCCCCTTTGGCGAAATCGCAGACGTCTCACTGCCGAAGAATGACAAGCCCAACTCAACAGAGTCTCACCGCGGTTTCGCATACGTCGAGTACGAAGACGTTGATGACGCAAAGGAAGCTATCGACAACATGGATCAGTCTGAGTTTTTTGGTCGCATCATCAGCGTCTCTGCAGCTAAGGTTCCTAAGAGCGCTGAGGAGGGGTTGGGCAGTAAGAAGGCCGTTTGGGAACAGGTATGGCGCATCCCACTCGAGGCTCTTTGCACGCAGCGCTGACACCGGTATAGGAAGGGTGGCTCGCTGAAAATGCAGTCGGAGAGGAGGACAGAATGGCATCGGAACAGGTCACGATACAGTCGGAAGCACGAGGACCAGACCCCATGCAGGGACTCGAAGGTCTCGATGTGGCGGGACCGAGGCCCGAGTAGAGGCAGACAGGTGGATGGATGTAGTCGGTCACGGGAGTATTCTTTGCATAGCGATGGCGTTCTACAGGTACGAGGAGCACTCTCCGCACATCATGCATGGTGCGAGAGTCCTGCAAGAGGACAAATAAAAAATGCGATGTTTGCGACCCAGTCTGATTTTGTCTTGGCTGCTCGCTCGACATATACATTTGTGTCGTCACTCTAGTAGCACACGGACACCAAGTCCATTCCTCGTTTCCCACCCAAACCTCCAGATTCTTGCTTTAGTGGGACGCCTCGTCATGGCTGTCGCTGTGCTTGGGGCCCTGGCGCTTGAGGCGGATGGTGCCATCAACCATGAAGTGGCGGATGCTGGAGTAGCCGGCAGCGAAGACGGCAAAGCCGACGACGACACCTGTGCAGCCATGTTAGTAGCTCTCATGCTCAGGTAGCCGAGGGATCAGTCCTACCGAGGGGGATCAACTCGGGAGGGATCCTCCTGAGCTTGCGGAGCCTCTGCGAGACGGTATGGCCTGTCCAGAGCATGTTAGCATGCCGAAAACACGTCCCACAGACGCCTCTTATTCCGATCAAGCAGCCAAAAGCTGCCGTCAGTGTCAATGGCATCGCAAAAATTTCGACATACCGGCTTGGTCCTCGCCCTGCGTGTCACGTCATTGTCAGCTGATTGAACTCGAACCACGTCGAGCGCGTGCGTGGCGAACGAGGAAGAACTCACAGGGACGGGCGACCTCATGCGGAGGGTCGGGCGGAAAGCCCGGAGAGCGAGAGTAGGACGCATCTTGACGTTTGAGGTGACAAGGAGCGACTTTGTGGTGGAGGTTGGTGATGGGAACTGGATTGAAGTTGGGTGTCGGGGATTCGGCTCTGCGCTGAGTGGTGGCTTCAGTCCTGGACTTGGGAGTGGAGCTCTGGCCGGACGAAAGCGCCGACCCGCAAAAATTTGCCTGAGGCACCAGCCGGTTCCTACCGTCACCACCTGATTCTCGTCCAACGACAATCTTCAATGCGCCCGTAACCAAGAGCAATCCCTCCGTCGCTGCACGCCTTTACCTCGCCCAAACAACCCAATATCTAGTCAATTGCCCTCAGCAAACCGCAAAGATGTCTGACGATCAGGAGCTCGTTACCAAGCCCTTCAAGTTCGTGACTGGTACGTCCGGAAATCCCTCTCCTAAGCAATGGCCTGATCATCCGAGGCTAACGTGATGCTCTCTACAGCTGGTACGAAATTCCCCCTCCCGACGCCGTCCACGACTGCGACACAATCGAAAGTCCGGAGTCGGAGGAGCAATTGGCAAGCTGTGATGATGTTGCTGACACCGACTTGCGACTTATAGGCACCGATGCCCGCTTCCCGAACATGAACCAGACCAAGCACTGCTGGCAAAACTACGTCGACTACCACAAGTGCATCAACGCCAAGGGCGAGGAGTTCGCTCCCTGCCGCCAGGTACGAGGAACGACGGCGACGGAATCAGTGAGACAAGGATGTTAACAGCGCCTAGTTCTGGCTCGCCTACCGATCTCTGTGCCCCTCCGGCTGGTACACTCGCTGGGACGAGCAGCGCGGTACGATGACTCTCGCTCACGACGGTACACACTTGCTAACTCAATACCCGTTCAGAGGCTGGCTCTTTCCCCGTCAAGCTCGACGCGTAAGATATTGGAAGTTCGAGGCTTTGCACGGGCTAGATGTTGGAGGATGGGTCGCTTGTACTACTTACCCTGAGGGCGAGATATCAATAGATCACCAGGAGTTGAATTGCGCAGTGACGTTTGCAGAAGATAATCACTGAATCTTCTTCTGTGTGAAGTGAAATGCATGTACGCTGACTAGGTATCATCTTCAAGCTCAGTATGCCCGGAAACTCCGAGCAGCACATTCTCTAAATCGCTAACCAATCCCACTGCGGCGTTTACTCATCAGACCACGATGCCGATCAGACATCTCATTTCTTGGATTCTTCCTCGTCATCGGAGCTCATGAACTCGTCGTCTTCGTCGAATCCAAAAAAGGCCCGAGGCTTCTCCTTCTCCTTGCCTTTCGATGTGGCTGTCGACTCGGTTGGAGACGTGGACTCCTTGGAGGACTCTTCACCTGAGTCTTCTTCCTCCGCGTCCGACATGGATTCGTCGGCTTGAGCAGACGACTTGGAGCCAAAGGATGTCCCTGCCAGATTATCTGTGTACTTGCCGGCCTTCATGGCAGCAAGAACAGCGTCCCGTGTCCTCTCATTCGCCTCTTCCTTGGCCTCAACCCATGCACCGTCCAGACGGCCCTTTCCGCCATTCTTGATCTCTTCCTCTCGTCGCTCGGACGATTCCACGATTTGCTGCCACCTTTCGCGCCTCTTCTCCTTCTCCTTCTTCTCCATCTCAGGCTTGATCGCTAGGTACTCGGCAAGCGCCTTGGCTTCCGTTACGGTCCGTAGCCGACGGCCGTCGAGGTTGCGGCTTGAGTTGTTCGCATCGCCCTGGTTGCGCTTTTTCTTGGAGGACATGCGCCCACCGGCGGCGCGAAGCTGGGAGCCGAAGCCACCCTTGCCGCCGCAGAGGGGAACGGACAGGCGCAGGGAGATGAAATCATCTTCGACCGACGACAGGAGATCTGACAGTGGGCGGGCCGAAGTCGCGGACACTTCCTTGTTGGAGATAGTAGTCAGAATGAGCCTGCTGCCAGACTCGGGCAGTCGTGCGTCAATCTGTCCTCGCACATCGGAGAACGTGGTGGTGGCGGGGATAGGCAAAACAAGTGTCGATGGTAGGCCTAGACCAGGAAATGTGCTGACGAACACGTTGATGTTCCGGGGCGCCATTTCAGTCGACGTTCTGGATGTTCCCTGGTGCTGAGACAAAAATGACGGATGGATGTGCCGATAGAATCCTCTTGAATGCAGCCGAAGTCGTGGCGAGAGTTGATGCCGAGTCGCGGTGTCAAGTGGTTCTAGTGAGGGGTAGAGCTGGTTGAACGATCGCAGGTACAGCTCAGAGAAGCTTTCCTGTTGGAGGATGTCGATGTTGTTTACTCGGCTCCGCGGTGTCTCGGTCTTGTCGTCGACAGAAGGTATCGTGTTGTATCGCAGGCAGACTTGGGGGCAAACGCATGGAGTCGACATCGCGGTCTCTAGGGCGTCCATCGAACAGTCTATACTTATCTTATCATAGTG